ATCGAAGTGAATCAATTACATAAAGTACACAGAAATTTGGGCATCCGACAATCCCTAAGATCCAGGGACATACGGCAGATGAACCGGTAGCCCGAGGTTCCCCAGATCACAGGGTGTGTCGGGCACGGAGGCCACTACCAAACGTTTATAATGTGAACCATATATATATATATCATAGGGAGTCATAGGGAGATTTATAAGGCGTAGGGGGTAGGGGTATCTTGATGTGACCACTGCTCAATTACATACGACCTGGTTTGTAGTGTCTCGGATCAGCAGGTAGTTTCGGTGCTTGTGGAGTGAAAGGGGAGGGGGTTAGAGAAGGCAAAGCAATGTCCTGTGACTGGTGAGGAAACAGTTCTAGTACAAAGTGCGGGAAGCGTCGTCTCCCGTCCTCCCTCAGCAGGCCAGTATCAGGATGTATAGTCCAGAGGAGTACTTTGAGCAGGTAACTTCCTTACAGTGTAGGTTAAGGTGTAAAGGGGGAGCGGAAAGAGTTATAGGGGTCCAAGGCTTGCACTCGTGTCTTGAATTCACGGCCGAAACTCTTCCTAATTGTGGGGAGTGATTGGAGATAGGAGAAACTTCTTATTGGCGTCTGCTGTCCCGTTGACCCGCTGGGGAACGTCTGTTAGGTGAGAACAAGCGGTTATCTGGTCGGCGTTTTTTCGAGGGAGTGTTGCCTCGCTGGGACGGAGGTAAGATCAATTCGTCCGCGATCGAGGGGGGTACATTCCAATCCATAACTGCCGTGTCTGGTAAATCCAAACCTTTTAGAAAGGGTTTGACATCCGGGAAGGATGTTATAGAGAACAGAGTGCCTTTGTGTTGCACAAAAAGGGCAAAGGGAAATCCCCAGCGGTATCTGATAGAGTGTTGGCGAAGAAGTGCCGTGACAGGTCTCAGACATCTCCTGGCCTGAAGAGTATACCAGGTGAGATCAGGGTATATTTGGATCGGTGATCCGTGGAATAGGAGAGGCTGGGTGGTATCTCTCAGCTTCTTGATGATGTCGTCCTTAATGGAAAAATAATGAAGTCTGCAAACAATGTCCCTAGGAGCATCTTGAGCTAGCCCCCTCGGTCTGAGAGATCTGTGAGCCCTATCAAGTAGGATGGGGCTGTCGCTGGGCTTATTTAAGAGCAGGTTGAATAGTTCTGTGAGCACCAGGGCTAAGTCTTCATCTTGTTGTTCCGGCATGCCTCTCACCCTCAAGTTGTTACGACGGCCCCTGTTGTCCAGGTCGTCGACATATCTCTGGTAGCCGTTTAAAGCGATGCCTTGTGATTCTATCATACTAGTGAGGTTAGAGATTTGGGCTTGAGTGACATCTCTCTCTTCTTCCAGGTCTGAGATACGGGTATTCACCTGCTGTACCTCTGCCTCCACCGACTCCATCCTTGTTTGGAATGTTGCTTCCAGTCGGCTTAACATGGACGCCAGGTCGGATTTAGAAGGTAAGTTTTTTATTAATTCCCTTATGTCTGCGTCTTTTTTCGAGTCAAGGGTTTTAGTGGAGCGGTCAGAGCCCGAGGGGCTAGCGGGGTCCTGATCCGAGCTCATGTCCGACGCGGCCATTTTGTTTATTTCTCCGTCGGGCATAATTTCCAAATTGTCCTTGAAGTAGTGTGTTAATGTACCCGATTTTGAGGTAGGGGTCTTCCCCACTCTCTCCTGGGTATTGCCCTGTCTTTTGGGATTCCCCATATTGATTTAGAGTCTCCGATGCACGTGGATACACCAACAGGCCTAGAGGAGCTGTTTCAGAGCACGTCCATTCAGCTCCGCGGTCGGCCACGCCCCCTCTCTTTTTTTAAGGTATTGTCTTTTTGCTGATGATACTAACATTTGCAACAGCGTTGATGTTCCAGGAGGGATAAGTCAAATGGCAAATTATAATTTTTTTTAGTTTCATCAGATAATGGGACTGCTTTATGCCATTTCCAATTAGCATTGTCAAGTCCCACATCATCATATGTACCTTAACTCTCCTATTACAGCAGAAAGAATATATATATATGTAAAAAGAAAAAAGAACTAACCAAAAGGGGAAAAAAAAGAAAAAGGAAAAAACAAAAAAGAGGGAAAGGGGATAGTTCTGCCAGTTTACTTCTCATGTTAATTGCCCAAAAAGCCAGGGCTCCCATATCTTAAAGTAATATTCTCTCTTCCCCTGGGCAGCCCATTGGATTTCTTCCAGTTCCCTCTGGAATATTTCCACTCTTTGTACCCACTGTTTTTTAGTCAGGGCTCTGGGATTAAGCCAATATGTCGGGATCATGGCGTTAGCTTTGTTCAGTAAGTAACTCAGCAATATCTGTTTGTTTTTCTCTTTGAAGGAGGCTGGCCATTCCAACAGGATCTTAGATGGGGATATTTGTTCAAGTGTTGGTAGGATCTTATAAATATCACTCAGGACCTGGTGCCAAGAGCCTCTAATATGTTTGAACTCCTACCAGATATGCTCCATATTCCCCCCCCTCTCTCCGCATCTCCAGCAGCAATCAGTGGCTGATAGGCCATATTTATTAAGTCGGTCTGGAGTCTTATACCCTCTAGTTGCTCTTTAAAAAAATATAATTTTTCTAGCGGTAGTCACCTGTGCATTCATCCCCATTTTGAACACATATGACCAATCATCATTGGTCATATGAATGTTCAAACCTTGCGTCCATTTCAGTTGGAATGAAGGAACTATCTTATCCATAGCTCCTCTCTGAATTAAACTATATAAACTGGACAAGTACCGTTTTTTTCTATCCCAGGGCCGCAAAGCATCTCAAATTCTGTTTTATCTCTTGTCTGCCAATATGGTATCACTTTTTGGTTAAAAAAAACCTTTAGGTGAGTAATGCCCATTATATTTATTTAAGTGTTGTCATATTTTTCCAGGAAGGGAAATCTCTTTTCCTGGTGGATATTTCATCTATTAATAAACATATTATAGATGGATCTGCTTCTCCTGTTAACCTTCTTAATAGATAATTACCAGGCCCTTTCTGAAATTCCACGTTAGATGCTATAGGGAAAAATACAGGAAATCCCGGGGATAGCTCCCATTTGTCTTTAAGCCATCTTCAGGTCTTTGTAATGTGATTCGGCAAAATGATTTAGGTAAACTAGAAAAATGGCCAGAGTTGTGGCAGCTGACATTTAATGTGGATAAGTGCTAGATAATGCAGCTGGGACGTTAAAACCCCAAGGGCAGAGTATATAATATTTTATACCCTACTAACCTCAACATCTGAGGAAAGGGATTTAGGGGTGATTATTTCTGATGACTTAAAGGTAGGCAGACAATGTAATAGAGCAGCAGGAAATGCTAGCAGAATGCTTGGTTGTATAGGGAGAGGTATTAGCAGTAGAAAGAGTGAAGTGCTCATGCCATTGTACAGAACACTGGTGAGACCTCACTTGGAGTATTGTACATAGTACTGGAGACCGTATCTTCAGAAGGATATTGATACCTTAGAGAGGGTTCAGAGAAGGGCTACTAAACTGGTTCATGGATTGCGGGATAAAACTTACCAGGAAAGGTTAAAGGATCTTAACATGTATAGCTTGGAGGAAAGACGAGACAGGGGGGATATGATAGAAACATTTAAATACATAAAGGGAATCAACACAGTAAAGGAGGAGACTATATTTAAAAGAAGAAAAACTACCACAACAAGAGGACATAGTCTTAAATTAGAGGGACAAAGGTTTAAAAATAATATCAGGAAGTATTACTTTACTGAAAGGGTAGTGGATGCATGGAATAGCCTTCCAGCTGAAGTGGTAGAGGTTAACACAGTGAGGGAATTTAACCCCTTAAGGACACATGACATGTGTGACATGTCATGATTCCCTTTTATTCCAGAAGTTTGGTCCTTAAAGGGTTAAGCATCTGTGGGATAGGCATAAGGCTATCCTAGACTTAAGATAAGGCCATGGACTAATTAAAAGCATATTGAAATATTGGGCAGACTAGATAGGCCGAATTGGTTATTATCTGCTGTCACATTCTATGGTTCTATGTTTCAGTTATGATAAATGGTGCCAAGCTGGTAAAGATGTGTTTAAGAAGGTTCTACAGATCCTCACACCTTTTCAGTTATTGTTCTGAATACGAAATAGCTAGAACATGTGGGTTTAATTGGGATTTTTTCAGCTACAAAACACCGCTAGGCCTGGCTATGATGATGTGAACATAGGGCTAGCATGTTAGAGAGGGTCAAGGCAGAAAAAGTTGGTATAAAAACACTGTCTTAACTTTTCATGTAGGATTTATGTTTCATAAAAATGAGAAGTCATTTAGAAAAGGGTAAAGGTTTAAAGTTTAATATCTCAAATGCACAAATGCACCCAACATCGCCTGGTCTGCAGTGCCTTCCCACCACCGGTGTTATGATGTCATCCCCTACAAGGGTGTTACTAGCTTCAAAAAATATATTTGGAAACCAAATCAAATCTTGATGCACCTCGTCTTGTCCGTGGACCACATCCTTACTACATCTAGTCCCCCTGGAAAGCTCCTTCGGGTACTCTAGACTCTAGCATATCACGGGGGGTGCTTCCGAGTTTTCCTACTGAACTATAACTTAGTGTCTTGGACTCAGCCTTGATTTGCAGAGATGGAGCTTTGCGTTGTATATCTTGGGCATTCTCACAGCTTGCAATATGTCAGTTTACTCATAAACACATTTCCTTATGCTTGGTCTATTTTATGACAGTTTATATGGAGCAAATTTGTTTTAGGATGAAATTAATAGCTGTATAAAAACAGTTTATATTTTCCATCTGGGATCTCCTCTTTCTGGCCTCGCAATCCATGAGAAAAAATAAATATCAGAATGTGTAACATTTTACTTGTTCCAGTAAGGTGGGGGGAGGCAGGGGGGACTCGGGACTCTCCCCTTTGCTGCTCTTTCCAGAATATTCTATGGTATTATTTCACTTATGGGCAGATTCACAGGATACGTGGGCAGATTCACAGGATATATGGGCAGATTCAAAGGCTATGTGGGCAGCTTCACAGGATACGTGGGCAGATTCAGAGGGTACATGGGCAGATTCACAGGATATATGGGCAGATTCACAGGATATGTGGGTAGATTCAGAGGGTACATGGGCAGATTCACAGGATATATGGGCAGATTCACAGGATACATGGGCAGATTCAGAGGGTACATGGGCAGATTCACAGGATATGTGGGCAGATTCAGATGGTACATGGGCAGATTCACAGGATATATGGGCAGATTCACAGGATATGTTGGCAGATTCACAGGATACGTGGGCAGATTCAGAGGGTACACGGGCAGATTCACAGGATATATGGGCAGATTCACAGGATACGTGGGCAGATTCAGAGGGTACATGGGCAGATTCACAGGATACATGGGCAGATTCAGAGGGTACATGGGCAGATTCACAAGATATGTGGGCAGATTCAGATGGTACATGGGCAGATTCACAGGATATATGGGCAGATTCACAGCACCCGTGAGCAGATTCACAGGATACTTGGGCAGATTCACAGGATATGTGGGCAGATTCACAAGATACGTGGGCAAATTCACAGGATACGTGGGCAGATTCACAGCACACGTGGGCATATTTACAGGATACAGATTCAGAGAGCACACTGGAAAATTTGCAGTGTGCATGGGCAGAATAGGGGCATGCATGGTCTGAGTCATGCTGTCTTTACATCTAACTCTGATATCATTGCACATAAACCTTTATTTTTGTATACTTTAGTAGTAGATTATTTATATGACTACAGTTGATGTAGTGAAGGATATCCTCACTGTTACCGCTATTGGAATGCACACTGATAAACCACACCATTCAAACTACTGATGACCATGATGACCCCTGACCACAACCGAAAGCCCCTTCCATGGGGACGTGCGTGTCAGAACGGGACCATGGAGCAATTGAAGAAGGCTGATCAGTGTAGTTGCTGCAATCGGTGAGTGGTTTGAATCTTTATAAAGACAGCAATACAGCCACTACGGGCGCTTCTGCAGCTACAACTAAGTTAAACTGTTGTAGGGCTAACGACTCTCATTGAGAGAATTTGATTGGAGTTGTGCCTCACATGCACATTATCCTTCCATAGCGAAGCATTGGATTGGCTGAGATTACCAACCAAGATGGTCTCAGCCAAGGAGACAGAGAAACCCTTGCGGGGAGAGGGGGGAACACGTTCATAGGTAGGGGAACACTATAGCGTTTGGAATACATAGTACACAATACATGATATAGTGTTCCTTTCATAGCGCTCACAGTTCTTCCCTTTTAAAGCAACGTAGTCTTCTCTTTAGAATTGTAGAAGATGAATTTTGTATAAACATGAAGGTCTTAAGAAAGCTAGCTCCTCAAATTTTTGGAGGACATTTTAAATATATTTGATATTTTTTTATTTATTCATAATCATTTTTTTAACTTAACTCTGTACTTCCCCTAAACGTTCTCTTCAAATTGCCATACATTGTCACATCTTAAAGTGAAGACCCTGAGGAGTCAGCCAAGGACTAGACAGAACAGGGACATGTGAGAGTGATGGGAGTGTATAGAGGGAAATATTAGGGAGGCCTTAAGAAGGGTGGGTGGAGGTTTAGGGCTAAAGGGTGTGACAGTATATATTGGAGGGCATTTTGCAGGCCAAGCAGCCATGTTAATTATCAGTTGGTAACAGCTTCTTGCCCTCCCTCCCCTTGTGGTGTTTTGTTGGTTGTGTCTTGTTTGTTTGTCCCAGCATGGCGGGAAATGGCCCTTGTCAACCAGGGATTGGACCAGCGGTCCGTGGAAAACTATATGGTCGTGGCTGAACCCTCCCCTAACTGTAGGTACAGATATGGATAACAGACATACCCAGTGAGCCAATGATCGACTAGTGGCTAGTATTATGATAATGGAAGGTCCAAGAAAGGTCTTTGTGCTTGTCGGGACAAGGGGAGAGGGCAGTTGCCTAAGTAATTGTGTTTGGTTGGCAAGGTGGTACTCAGTGACCTTACTTATTTACTGATAAAGTTATATGTTACGTTAATGTGTTATAACGTTTATGTTGAAGATATATATATATTTATAATATTTACTAAAGCTGTGGTCTTTTTTCACCAAGTAAGTCTGTGGTTTGGTTATTTTGGGTAAATAAGGGGGAGTGGGGATTAGCCGAAGGGTTTCTAGTTATGGCCCATTCACAATACCCTCTTCCTACGCACATGTGTTTCGATGGTGAATGCATTATTTGTACTTAGATAATATCCGTTAACAGATTACTAGAAAGACAGAATAATTCAGAATGGCTTTGAAAAAAAAGGTGTTTTTTTTTTTATATAATCTCGGGGTCATCTTGTGTACCCAGAGAGGTCACCTGGACCAAGAGACTCGGCAGAATATTTTCTAATAAAGTCTAACTCTAGAAAATCATTTAGAAACCCACCAGCAAATCTACAAAGGAAGCATCTGAGTTCTGCAACGGACAGCAGACCAGTCACTTGTAAAAGAACATGCTGAGAAGTTTTTCTTGTCGAATACAGAAGAACTACTTAAGGGGAACAAATAGGTTGCAAAATGTGCCGTTGCCTTTTTTTTCCCAGTTCTCTTTCTCCTCCAGGGGTTTCAAATCCTCCTGCCTGCATCCCAGAGATACAATTAGAAAGGGAAGTTTAAGCAGGGGGAGCAGATGTGCTCTGTGGGTTTCCTGGCAGAGGGAAAGTTTTTTTCTTGCCAAAGGACGCAGATTTTTAGAGCCACAGCATGTCCAATATGTCTGGAAAGCAATGTGCACAAATCATTGCCAGTTTCATCAGAAAATGAAGAACCATGCCTGGTATATAATCCAAAGGAAGGCAACGAGGAATTCTTCCACCAGCGTAGCCTTTCGTGGATTAAGTGAATTGTGCTCGAAACAGGAGGTAAAATAAAATCTACAGTAATATCTGACATCTCTGGATACAATGTGTCATCATTGTGTCTACGGCTCAGTCAAGATCTAGCGGCAACAGGACACAAAGTTAGATTTACACATTACAAAAGCAATAGGGATCAATTTATCTGAGTCTTCCAGTCTGAAACATGGCAAATTTGGGCAAAAGCGTGTTCAAAAAGGGAATCCGTTCACAGTGAAATTGATGGGTTTTTTTTTACCTGTGATGAAATAGATGAAGTTTTATTTTTCCACTGGTTTTGTCATAATGTTTGCAGCTGGGTAAATTTGATAGATTACCCCAGAAGGCTTACGAGACAGACCATGAAAGGAACAGGTAATTAAACTGAGCCGCTCTCGTACAGTTATTCGAAATAACCCCAGTGATTGAGGACTGAGAGAGTTCGCAGGGCCTGCACACAGCTAAATTGCTTTTATTGTCCATGCAGTGATGCTCTGTATAACTAGGGCTTTGGGGCATTAGGAAATTTTTTAACATCTTCAAAAAAATGACAAAAAATAAAATAAAACATTGAGAAGTTTATTTTTAATGTCAAGTAACAGTAGCTTTCTCTTATTCTGTAGACAATTTTTGATCTACTCTGTTATCTATGATTCGAGGGTCTGGGACACCAACTGCAGTGATGACCGCATTAAGAGTGGTTGCTGGTTGGGGGTTAAAGGGACATCACTCCTAAAGCAGTTTAGCTTGCTGATGTGCTATATGTGTTAAGAGTGTGTCCTTTTATTTATTTTTTTAAATTTATTTTCACAATAGCTGTCACTTTTATAAATGAACTTGGTTACACCTCCCTGGCTTTTCAATCAGACAACAGATCCTGTTACTTACCTGGTTGTTTGGCTCAGTGGATATAAACTCAAGAGGCACAATTGCTCAGAGCATCTGCCTTTCAAAGACTTCTCATTGAGCTGCATTGAGAAGTCTGTGATTGGACAGCTACATAAAGTCTGGGTGGGGTTAGAAGGGGGGGGGGGGGCTTGCAAAGGCTGCTGATAGGAGATCATGGAGTTTAAGCTGGTTTCAGCTATAACTCCATTGAAATAATGCACAATTGAGTACATTCATGTTTTCTTCAGGGTATATCTACTAAATGGTGATTTTGATGTTTAGTGTATTTGGACAGTGGACAGTGTGACTTTAATGAAGGAGCTCATGACATACCCAATACAAATTTTGTATTATTTATCACTAATTAAAATCAGGTAGCATTGGATGGAAATTGATGTTCAGTTTCCGTTATGTGCTATCTGTGCTGGCGTCGTACAACATACTCATTACTGAGTTTCCATCTTTTTAGAGGTCGTGGAGGCCACACTTGTTATAATATCCGCAATATGATGTAGGATTTGTGAAATTCCCTCAATTTTCAGCATCCCTGTCATTAGCACCAATGCAATAATACCAAGCCATTAATCACTAGTAAGAGTCACACAATCGCTATATATTCATATCGCCAAAAGTTAAACTCCCTTCTGAGTGCCCTGAATTGTTTTTCAGATACAATCCAGGCTCCCTTTGTTTATGCGGAAGAATTTACAAAGATGGCGACTGGATTTGATCTGATATTTAAATAACAAAAACAATCTTAATGAACATCCAATTAATCTCCGTCTTCCTTGTAATGCTTCACAAAAGATGGCAATCCATTATTATCGGTCCCTCTGCATTCCTGTGTGTAATTTATTATGCTGATCCATGGCGCACTGTTTAATCAAATTAACTCTTTCCAATTTCTTTGCTGAGAAGTTTTTTTAATTACATATTTTTCAGCAAGCGAGGCAACAGGAAGGCAGCGAGGAGAGGGAAGCCGCCGCTGCGCAGATCATTACAAAGCCCGTTCCCTTCATCAATGGCAGAGATAGAGATTAGCGGCCCAGCTGAAATGTTGCAGGGTTTGCAAAAGGAAAAAAAGGGAGGACGTGTAACATGTGACCTTAAAAGACAGAATAGAAGCTTAGAAGAGGATGCAGCTATTCAGACACCTCAAAGCCAGAGCCAGGGCAGGAGCAGGCAGTTAAATCTCCTGGAAAAAAATAATAGATTAAGGGATTCTGAATGCACAGTGTGGAGGGCTTGTAAAAGCAGACACTTGGTAAATAGTTGGACCAGCAGCAGATAGTCTGCGAACCATCCCCTTGTTATCACCTACCTTAATAGCACGGGCAGCACTAATTGTACTGTGCTAGAGACAGGATTATGGGATGTTAAGGGTCTTTTAATACCTTATACCAGTATAATAATATATTAACAAATGAAATACAAGTCACATTTTAATTAAAGCCCCCTTTTCACTGTGTTTATAATTAACCCTTGTTTTTTTTAAGACTTACAGTATACATACAGTATACCCTGATATTTAGCTCACTGTTGGCAGGTGAGTTTACTCTCTATTGCTAAGCAGTGGCAATAGAAGCCTCTTTAAAAAAATATTGCGGTTTTGTTAAAACGATGTCCACTTTTTTTTTTTTGGTCGAAAGAGAGAAAATCATGGGGTTATGAGATAATTAGTTTTATATGAAAGCAGTGGAACTACTAACATTATTAAAATAATACACTTCGGGGAAAAAGCTTGAAAATGGTAATGGAGGAGGCTGAGACTGTCAGAACAGGTGTACTAATTATCCGAGCCGAAGACATGTCTACCCGTGTGACTGACAATCTACCTTACACAAACTCCCCCTTGGAGCAGCGATGCCATATAGTCTAGCTATTTGTTTTCTATTTTGAAA